GCAGGAAAGGTGGGGTGTTTAAGTCATAAAGCCTGGACTATAGAGCAGTGGAAGTGGAAGCGAGTAATATGGTCTGACGAGTCTTCTTTCACATTGTTTCCCACTTTCTGGCCGAGTTTACCTGAAGGAGAACGCCATCTCAAGCCTATAATACAGACTGCTTGTTGCCAAGAGTGAAACATGGCGGGAGGTTCTGTTATGGTTTGGGCAGCCATATGTGGTTCTCTGCTAGCCCCATGATAACTGTGTCAGGGCACATGACTGCCAAGACTATGTGAGCATTTTGGTCGATCAAGTTCATCCCATGGTACAAACTTTGTTCCCGATGGTGATGGTGTCTTCCAAGACGACAAAAGCCCCTGTTCACACAGCTCACATTGTCCAGGACTGGTTTTCTGAGCACGAGGGATGAGTTTGTCCCATCTCCCCTGGCCACCACAGTCACCAGACCTGAATATTATCGAACCTTTGTGGTCTACATTTGAAACGGAAGTGCGCGTTCTCGTTATCCACCGCCAGCATCGTTATCTGAACTTGCCACCGTTTTGCAGGAAGAATGGTATAATATTCTCTTGGCAAACATACAGGAACTGTATTTATCCATTCCGAGAAGACTGCAAGCTGTTTTGGATACCAACGGGTTTCCTACACCATATTAAGCAAAGAAACATGTTTTTTTAAAGGTGTTTCCATATTTTTGTCCAACCCCTGTAGATCTTCGGATCCGTCCTTCGGGATATTCTTCGCGATATTGTATGAACATGGAGAAAAATCATATTGTTACATCTAAGGTGTCCAAAGCCTAAACCTACGACAGGTTGAAGCCTTATAGGTAAGAGGTGGAATGCCTGACATGGACCTCATCGTATCTTCTAAATGCGAATTCGGTTTTAAATCGGAATCTCATTACATTTTCCCTTATCTTCTTTTTTAACTGGAATTTCCTTTTAACTTTTGGTGTCGAAATTTCATTGATATTAATTACCTGTACCTTAACAGAAGAGGTTTTAGGAGCAGAAGTTAAGGTTTTAGGAGTTAACTTTATACATCTATTAAAATTTTATTAGTAGGGTTAAAATATGAATATTATGGTGGATCATTATACTGCGCAGATGTTCTTGTTTCTAAGGCTTAAACTTAGTGCACTGATCTGCTAAATAAAAATAAGTACGAGCGATTACATTGTTAATGAAATAGAAGAAACACAAGCATGTAGATTAAAATCAGAACGATTAAAACAATGACATTGAATGTCTTCCCTCGAACAATCCATTGATCACACTCTTATAGAAAGGTATAGTCTAATAAAGCGGCAATTTCTAAATGTACCGAATGATCATACTTTTGATGAAGCTGAAGGAACCTGCTTAGGATCAATAATTAAAGAATAAGAAGAATGCAGCCAACCTTTAGCGAACGCTTTTATATAAATAAAACACGAGCAACTCCACATAAATTTATTAAATCTGTGACATTATCGGTGGAAATAAAACCAGAAGTTAGGAAGTCGTCAGGCCCAAAAGGCATTTTCAGAGACTTATCAAATGCTTTTTTCATTACAATCAAATCGCAGATATTAAATATCGAAAAATTCCTTTCCAATTTAAAAAGTGGCCCATACCCAGAGGGCCCTATTAAGTTTCGAGAGTTATTGGAAAGAAAGAAAAAAAAAAGTCTTGTAAAGTTTTAAGGATTTTAAATTAAATCACTGCAGCAGATAGGAAATAATCTTTTTCAGCTCAATAAAAAGCAAACGAAACAGAAAACAACAATCCTAAAGTAAATATTTCAAGTCCAATTTCTATTCTCACAAATTACTTATTTTATTTTTATTTCATTACGTTTTATTTTTTTTTTTTTGTTCATATCGACACGAGAGAATGAAATTTTCTAGTAGCCAATGAAAAGTCGCTGCATTTCATTGGATATACCCAACAGCGTATGTCATCAACTATTCAGAATATCAAAATGTAAATACGTGATCAAATCTGAGATTACCTATACGACATAAATAAAAAGATTCCAAATCTCCGGAAATAGATATTTTAATAAAATACACGGAATTTATGGAAAAGAAGTAAACATCATGTGTTATCTCTTTTCGGAAAAGATATTTCTGATATTGTGATGATATTCTGATTCTGTGATGAATTTCTGCATACACAAGAAAATAAGAAAAATATTTTTGAAAGGGCTGTCGATCGTTTTGAATCTCAGAAGCATAAGTTATTCAACTCTCTGGTAAACCGGTTTCAAATATCGGCTATTCTGTCCACCCCCAAATGCCTGACACTTTACGGAAAGTATTCGTCGAGAAGAGAGGATCCATCGGTCACTTAGTAGCTTCATCACTGAGAATGTTGCCCAGGATGCATCACAAGTAGTAGACATATATTACACTCAGAAGGAGGGTGGAAGACACCATACACATGTATGGGTTACGCAGGAATCGGACTTACTAATTTCGTCTCGGACAAGCAATTGAATATCGTGTATATAATTCTAGTAAGTAACACATTAGTGATTTTCGTAATTAACGGAATCTAAGGCTATTACAGACTTTTGGACGCGAAACGCAGAAGAGACTAGCGAGAAACACGTTCTTCCCTGAACTAGTTTGAACAGCAAGTTTCTACACGCAATTTTGGGGGAAACGTTTTATTCAGCAATGTATTTCATGCAAGTGCTCGCAATGTTTTACGACACTGGCGAACAATATTGCTCTAGAAACTGTTTCCTTTGCGTCAACCAATTGGGGAAAAGTTTTGCTTCTACGAAGTATAGTAAACGTCTGTTCTATACTTCTGGAAGGAAAGCGTTTCTCGGAAAATTTTCTTATCGCGCTTCATATGTCTACCGATCTGATAAGACCATAAGTAGGGCATAAAATTTTGTCACCTTTTGAGAATTCTCGGAAAGTTGTTGGTTGTGGAAGAGGAGAGAGAGACCATAGCATACCATTCCCAGGTTATTCAATCTGTCAGAAGAAATTATAGACCTCGGAGTGGATTAGTTTATACGGATTATGACAAAGCACGCGATGGCTGTCTGCCTGAGAGAAGGGATTCCTTCTGGGGGGGAAGAGATTGTTTAGCTCTTATCCACATTAAACATGGAAAAAAAACATGAAACTTTGAACGAAGTCAATCCATTCGTCAGGATATGAACATGATCAAACTACCAATGTTCAGTTATTTTACTCGGTGGCCGCTGGTGGGTTTTATAGACACTGGAATTAAATATCAATAAAGAACAGAGTTTGCAACTGTTCAAGTGTTATGACGAGCGCTATGGAATTCACAAATATAAAAGTTTTAATTTCCTTATTTTAGCTTCAATCAATAATTTATTTTAGATAACACGTTATTTTATATTAATTCTTTTTTGCGCCTTCTATTTCTTTTGCCAGTTCTCATGGCAATGTTAATTACCTTGAGCTTTAAATAGGCAGCGAAGTTATAACTTATGATAAGCACTGTGGTAATTTCCCAGTGTAGCGCATTAACCTGGGAATACAAGCTATCTACCAAACTCATCAATGGATTGGCTTTGTATCTATGAAAGAGTACGGCTGAAATCTCCATAATCTGGTGTCAAGTAATTTAGGTAAAATTTAGTTGTGTATTTTACCGCTTTAAATATCTCAGTTCTTCAAACCCCGCAAGTGCGACGGTTATTATTATTAATTTTTAATAGTAAATTATAAAAAATAGTCTAATAAAGCTTTTAATTAATACTTCTTGTCTATGTTACTGAAGTTTGAATTACACTTCTGTTTAGTTTTGAAGATGTAGTTCAAACAAAAAGGATCAAACGAGTGCAATAAATAGCTAATCAGTTTTAATATTACAAATCTACTAATGCCCTTTTCTGAGTAGCTAGATTTAGCGATTTTCTGTTTTTGTGCGGAAGTTTTGTATAAAAGAAAGTGTTTAGCGTCAAGATAATCTGAATTTAGAAGTCGCGCCGTATGCTCTGGGAGTTCCGTATTTAGTGAATGCTCCCTACCAAAACACCGTGATTTAACACCTGTGTTGTGAATCGGGCCTTTGAAGCCGCTGTTATGTTAACTGCACATACATAACACTCAATTAGTTCGCGATTCAACGCAATCATGGAAGAGTACATTTCAAATAATCACTCTATGTTATAGTAGTGATTGCGTATACAGTTTAATCACTATATAGCAACTATGCACAGTAAATTGCGTTTATATATGACGTTACATAATTTCACTTCGTATTATACGATTTCCACTTATTTAAAGTTCAAATTACCTTAAATTCTCTTTGCTCCACGCTTAAAATGCTATGAAATACTAGAAGAAAATATTCTTCAGCACTTTACAACGTTTTGTTAAGTGATTTATTATTTTCAATAAAATAACAACGTACTAATAAAATCTTAGCAGTTTTTTCTTCAGGTGGAAAATTTAATATGCTACTTTTTAGTTTCCTTGAACTTTAGAAATATCTGGAATTCAATGAAGTTCAAACAGAAAAACTTTATACGTTCGTCTATAAAATCCAGTTTCTGGAATGTTAATTAAACTGCCTGTATGCTAGTACATCTATCTACATACCTAATGATAACATTTAGGTACATTACACAACATCTCAACAGATTTTTATACAGACTTTTGTTTTGAGGCATAATGAATTCTGGATCCGAAATATTATTACAAATGTTCTTGTGCACAGGAGTAAATATACCGACAGATTTTAGGATAATAAAATGAACATCAATAATTTGATATTATTAAAAAAAAACAGAGTTTCATATTCATGAGATAGTATTAACGCAAATTAGAATATACGCAAACATAACTTTCTTACAAATACTTGTAAATATTTGCAATAAATCTTTTTCCTGAAGTTAATATTTAAAAAGAAACGTTTATCAAGACGTTTACCAACCATAATTCTTCAATTTCAAATATGCCATAAAGGTCAACTCTTTATGCCTGATCAGGACCGATCTCCAATGTTTGAAATACTTACCACAGAGTGGTATATCGCAATGCTGCCATCGAACTCGAGGGTCCATGGTATAGCACCAAGGCACGGGTTCTTCCCCTCCAGCATTTCTGCAGTAATTCTCTGAATTCAAAACTTCAGGAAAGACCTTAGGAGGTCGGTTGTGGTGGTGAGGTTCCTGAAAAAGATGTCAGAAAGTATTTCATTGAGTTTAAGACAAATTATTATCAGAAAGGTAGGTATATTCTTGTTAAAGCGGTCACTGCGTCAACCTCTGGCGGTATTTGAAATTTGCAAATTATAACTAACAATTTTGGGGATTAAGTAGGACAGCCACTTTAACAAGGAAGTGCCACAAGATAATACCGAACACCGTAATGATTATTGGAAAAGAAGGAATTACTTCATGAGAAGAATATTTTAACATTGCAAGGTATTTTCTTCCCTACAGAATGCTTTCTTGGTGTAAATAGAGAGCCCGAGCCATCGAAAGTTCCAGAATTCCAAGTCCCAGCGAGGGTCTACACATTTTTCACGTCTCCTGCTCCAAAATAAAATGCCTAAAGGTTTTTGCATTTCAAATGAAAATGCTCAAGGAGAGTTAAGAAAGAGTTCAAAATTAGGAATAATAAATACATGTTACCCATTTTCAGATTTCAGATTCTTCTCAGTTACTAAAGCTAGATAGAAAACAATAAAAAAATCTGTTTGTATAATAGAAAGTAATTATTAATATTTCAAATTAGGTGACGAAAAACAGCTGAGGATAGTTTTCTAATTCAATATTTAAAAGGAATCAACAAGCTGCATTAAAATTTTCTGATGTTCTCTAGATGTAGTATATATAAGCAAAGCACAATCTTTAGTTTTAAGGATGTCTACAGAAAAGCACTCTGCTTGAAGCGAAACAAAAGAGTAATTCTTTTAAAACAAATACATGATAAATGAAATTTTATGTAACGTTTTAATGAAACAATTATTTCATATAATTTATACATACACAATTATATTTCAATATATTTTAATATTTCGCCAACACTGTACATGCTTTACAAAATACACGCACACAATAAAAACAGTAACATTTCTCAACAAATTTCATTTACCTTTAATGAAAAACATCGTTCACTGAGGAAAGAACATAAAAAAAATTGAAAGCTATTAGAAAGTTAACCTTTTGTGCACAAGATAAAGAAACTAAAAATTAAGATCTGAAGTAGTTTTTGAGCAAAATGCTTTTGCATTTCACACGGCTTTTAAGTTTCTACAACAACACTTTTAGTTAAAAAATGAGGGATTGGCAAGAGTTGATACTTTTTTAGATAATTTATTTACTTACCTAATTTATTTACTTATTTATTTTTTGTTTGGTTGAGATTTTGAGGATGCCTTCGCTTTTCTATCAATAATCCTACTTTGCTTTGCTCATTCAGATGTGGATTTAAAGTTTAAAATTAATTATTAAAAATTAGACACTTACGTTAATATGTTCATTAAATACGTTACGCTACGTTAATAATATGTTCATTAAATACGTTACGCTACGTTAATAATATGTTCATTAAATGCTCAGATATCGGATATATGCCCTAGGAAATTTCAAAGGAACTTTATAAACAGGAATTTAATCATACTAGCTGCATGCGGACCATAAACCAAGAGTTAGACACTCCTGATATAAAAATTCAACAAAAGGGGAGGGACCTTAAAACTTCATATTAAGAATGCGACATCATATCCTTACTCGATGAAATATTTTGTAGGATAAAATTCGCATTTTCCTAAAGAATGACGTGGTTTACATTTTGACAAAGAAACTAGATCCAGCATTAGAGTCGTCAAACACAATTACGAGTACTAATTGCCTTGTCTGACTCGAACAACAAAATTAACATTCACAAAATAACACAAAAATGAATTAGTCTTAATAACACCAAAAACGCGACATCGTATCACGAACTTTCTAGCTAGAAAGAATAAATCAAGACTTTCAAATGCTCTAACATAGCATACTGCTTTCAAGTAAAATCTTAATGTGAGATATAGTGCCTTTCTCACCTCGCAAAGGAAGATGTCTGACAAGCAGTTTGATTTCAGCGAACGAAAAAACTGAAGGAAAGAATAAATACATAAAAATAAATAAATTAGTTTTCATATAAACTGCTTCTCACAGATAACACAGCTGTCAGCTGCAATCCAAAAACTGATTTTCTTAAGCGCAAGTTCATTCCATCAGACTTGCTGGCAGCTGACAGAATACTAAATGACGCACATCGCCAAGAAAAGGAGCGAGATTCTAAATGAACTCGATTACTATCTTCACATTTACCCAGAAAAGAGATTAAAGCTTCTTGAGAGTTTCATCTCGAAAAGAAGCATTACTGGATATGAAATGCTGCAACATTTCGTTCTTCGCTGCCTCAAATATATACTACTTTCTATTCTTATCTGTAGAAGCTGACCAGTCTAGATAGATAATGCCAAGAACATAAGGATAATAAACGATACCCTGCGCTTCAGGGGAAGATGAAAGATGCGCCAGTCTATCATCCATCATGTATAATGCTCACAATCCAATAAAAAATGTTCCACGAAATGTTTTATGGAATGCATCAGCTATTGTTTTAAGATCAATTCTCTTTTAGCAATATATTAGGACTAATTTTGGCGTAGAATTATTCTAAAGCATTCGTTGCTAGATTCGGAAAATTTTCGTGAAGGATATCCTAATCAAGAGATTCCAGTATAAGATGCTGTATAGTTAATCGGAGGCTGGTAGGAGCAGTTTAGAAATGAATCTGTAAAGGAAGAATTTAAGATATAATAATTTTATTCGTGTGACGCCTTTCAGTACGAATATACAAAATTTTATTATCTATGAAGAAAGTTCCAATTAATAATTCGTTCTTTATTGTACTTAAAATCTTTTAGATCAAATGGGAGAAGAGAGTAAGTTCGTAGAGTTTTTAGCACAAGAACCCATAAGGAATGTGTAAAATTTTGTCTGCACATAGCCTTTGACCTAAATATAGGGCAGTAACGAATTACTGTATTTCCTCGGGTATTTCCTCCCTAGCGTTTTAGGGCCAAGTTCTGAAAACTTTAAAAAATATTCGCATGATTTCCTCCGTCCTCTACTGTACTTCCCCTCTGAGGGCTAGTTTTATTGGTAAATTTTATTCCCTTGATTATTTTATTCAGTGCATTGAATTTGTATTTACATTTTTCTATTAGCATTTCATCCCTTTTATTTTCCCTTGCATTATTATTTGTAAAGTTTTTTGTAGAGATTCTTCGTTTACCCGCGTGTGCCAGATGTTCTCCCATTTAAAAAAAACAATCCAAATATGCGATTTCCTCTTACTTCTATTATTTACGTTCCAGCTCATAGTAGCCTTATCTACTGCTACTGTGTTCGATCTTTCGAAATCAGGGTCTTTTATCCATCCCCTTTTCCTTCCTTCCTTCATGCGATGTCCTTCTTAGGAACTGCAGTCAAGACTCATTCATATGAGGTGTCCCAGGGGCTCACAAGTTAACTGACGGGAATACGTAGCTCCAATTACCATCAGATATTGGTTCAATATCAGTCAAATATTGTAATGTTAATACTACTGTGTATTCATATTGGATTGTCGTTTCTTTAAAAAAAAGTGGTATTGTGATTACTCGCAGTTTATTCATGACCACTTTTCGTTTGTTATGATCTTACCACAACCACGTCCTTCGGACATTAAATTACTGGCATAATTTTCCCCTGCGTGTATTTACGGATGATAAAACTAATCATAAAAGGGAGGAATAAGCGAGGATATATAGTACATTCATTACAATTTACTTTAAATATTATTATAACCAAGTAGATAATACAGATTACATCCTAATAGCCGAAATATATTTGCAGTTTTTAAAGGTTTAATAGGCAAATTATACATTTCTACGCTGTTAATTCTATACCATGCTGTACTGCTGTTTAAAATACTTTCGCGATACTTTGCAAAACAGTAGTTTATAATCGCAATATTTTGATAGAGTTCTATTTCTTTCAAATACGTTTCTCTTTTTTACACTATTTTTATACAATATTTTTATCGACAATTTTTTTAAGGTTTTCATAGGACACATAAAATTTGGGTTTCAAAATTTAAAACTTATATTCTTTTCTTTTGCAATTTGATTCCTGCTCGAATATCACGAAAAATATGTGCAGTATAACTCCATGGAATATTTTTCCTTTTTTACATTACAATATTTTTTTCTAATATTTCCCTTTTTGCATTTATGACGCTAAAGATTTTATAAACTATTTCATGACCATTCAAAGTTTCGGTACATTTCATCACTAAAGGAATACCGTTGTTAACGATTATGACTGCACATCATTAAAATAATGCATTCCCGCTTTTATAATTTGAGATCGATAAAGCCTTCTTTCTACACATGCATGCCACAGAGCCATTATAAGGAAAGTTCGTAATTACAACATTACTAAGGAAAGAAATTTTATTGATTCGAAGATGTATATCATTATTGAAAACTAGTCCCTCCTTTTCACAACCACCGGCAATACAATAAAGGGCATATGCATAATCCATCCAAATATAATTTCTTTGTCATTCATATACTTAAGCTAAAATTGTTTACTATAAATTTACTGTCACATATAGTTGCGATTAAAACTCTATTAACATGAGTCCAACTAAAATAATTAAACGAATCATCAAGAGACAAGCAGATCTTCACCACGTCCAGAAATAGAGCTGTAATGGATCCTCAATATAAGTTATTTACAAAAGGTAATGTCAAGCTGACTGACTATTTGGGGGGGGGGAGGGTTAAATTAAGCTAACTGATCAGAATATCAGTATCGGGAGCAGCCCGACCCACCTAACCAAACAAGTTGGTCTCATGGTCATAACAGGGCTTGATCAAAAGGATATAAATGATAAGAGTTTATGCTGACAATGAAAATTGATAATAATATCTCGGGCTATGTTCTTGCAACATTATACGCTGTTAACTAAAAAGGTTTCAAAAGACTGGACGTTTCTAGCCGAGAAAATTTTCAGTTGATGTTAAAATCTTAAGAGTTGATTTTGTATTATGGGGGGGGGGAAAGTTCGCTGGTTGATGAATATTGAGTCAGCATTGTACATCAGTTTTTCTTTTTAATAATATTTTGTTGGCATGCCTTTAACAGCTTTTGATTTATTTTATATTTTATACAGGATCAGACAGCGTAGGATTTGATTTATACCATTACTGTTCAAGAATATACTGAAACAGTATAAATAAATTCAAGCTAGGTGACGGGCCAAAAATAGAGAATATTTTCTTATTTTATAGATGTTAAATTGTTTTAGGCTAAAAGATTTTAACGTTTATAAAATAAGGTAAACAGGATATATAACATTTTAAGAATTTATTTAATGAGGTATATAATCTTATTTATATAATATATAAGTAAGATTTTATTTAGAACATTTTATTTACGCAGGCATAATTAAAATTAAACATCGCTTTGCATTCTGATATACTACATTTCATTTTATATTGTTGTCACAGAACACGATCATAAATTTCATATTCTATTCGAGCGTTTTCAAAGCTTTTTATCCTAACGAAATCCTTAAAATAATATTCAAATATTCAAGTCTAAGGAAACTCGGATTTCCATAAAAATTCAACTGCATTTCATTTTCTCTAATAAGTTTAAAAGGAAAACGATCTATATTTTTAATTGCTGATTTTAGAAAAAAATCACTTTTTTTAAGTTTATAGGTAATACGAAATACTGAAATCAAATTGTTAGACGTAGGGTTTTCTTGCATAAAAAGCATTTCATTATTTTTCGTTCATAATGTTCTATTTTAGACTTCTACAATCTCATCAATCTTAGTTCTACAATCTCACTTTGGGCTTTCTGCAAGGTAGCAACAAAAGTTTTGTCACTTCAAGCCTCTACTTTCTTCCTGCGGATATTCAGAGTAAAAACTTCTAAAACCATTTTCATTTCAGCCTTTCTTTCTATTTTCTCCTTTCACTATACTTGATGGGGAGACTTGGGGACATAGATATTTAACAAAAATACAAAAAACGAAGTTGGGAGAAATGAAAAAATGTGTTCGACTGCATTTTATTATTTCATAATAAAATGTTCATGTTTATTGTATCATCTGTCAGCGATAGTGATATTAATGTTACTTCTAAACAGCGTACGAAGCTTAAAGGATGGAGCATCATTGTGATATCACGTCATACATATATATATACTCGTATTTTTAATCAAGTCCCGTTGCGTTTCCACTTTAGTGTGAGCCCAGAATAGAAACACTGAAATTAGAAACACCTTCCTACCTATCCCAGATTGAGAGGCTGAAAAGGAATTATGCTAAAAAAAAGCCCTCATGTGGTAAAGCCTGAGGTGGGACATAACTGTGAGCCCTATTACTCAGTAATTAACTAAATCCTTTAATGAGAATAATACAGATCAGGGGGAACTTACCTGTACATCCCATCTCTGACAGGGAATTCCAGATTTTGTCACATTGACAGTGCCTTGGTAGAAACGACCCTTTCCACGAATGCACTCAGCTGTAATAGAACAAATTTAATGCGTTATCATTTTTACATCTGGGAAAGGTATAAAATATTTGGGATTAGACCAATAAAAAGACAGCCTTTCATTCAAAGCAAGCGATTAACTTGATATGAACTTTATTTTCCAAAATATGAGGGAAAATCTGTATATAGGATACGAATTACTACGGGATAACAAGAAATATGGTGTGAGCAGGTTGTAACATAATCATACTTCGTACTCAGTAAGCAAAGTTATTAATCACTAAGACTGTGTCAGACCAGTAAGAAAATGGCTACCATGTAGGAGAAATACCGAATCGCAGAGTTTTATTCCATTAACGAAAAATTCCAGATACCTCATATAACGGGCAAAACCAAGAACTGTCTTACTGAATTCGGGTGACATCTTTTTCCAATCTCCGTGCAGACTCAATCTAATACCAAGTGACTTTCATTTGTTTGGTTCCATCAGAACTGGCCCTAGCGGTACTTGTTCCATAGACACTGCGAACATTTAAACAAGAAACCCGAATATTCAGATCCAGCAAGTACTGGAACCGTCATACATCGATGGGATAGAAGTCTCAGTATAAGTTGAGGGTTATATTAAAAAAAGAAACAAAGCTGGTTGCAAAATAAGTATTACAAGTAGGCTTATTGCTACAGCCATTTATAATTTACTTATTAACTACTACGTACATATATGAATAAAAATGTTAGTCTGAGAAACTATTTCAAAGGAACTAGACTTTCACTGCTAAGCACATATTAATAAAAGTGCATGCAATATAAAAATTTTAGTGTACGCCTTCAAAAACTGCGTAACTTGTTCGTTTTATACGGAAGTATAAAATATATTAAGTCATTATGTTTCTAAGACAAAGAATAAACCCAGTTTAACCCTCCACATACAGATAAGCTTAATACGTACTTCTGAAAATTTTACGTAAAAAATGCATTTGGAGTAGTTTCCAGACATGTAAACTGCATTTCTGTTCAGAAGACACCGTTTTCATTTTATACATAATCGTAAATGAGAAGAAGCATAAAAACCAATGTAATACGCACCCACTCAAGTAAAACTGAGCATAGTGCTAAGGAAAAAAAAAACTGTAACATAACGCTGTACAACACAATTTAACATATTTTTTCCTTCTTACTTCTTACTGTGGCTTTAATATTGAACGTTACAATACCGAGGTATTACAAATTAACTATCACCGTATTTTTAAATATATTTCACAGTAACTGAAAAGAAACTCATCAAATTTTCTTCACACACTGAAAATATTCTTTCGTGCTGGGTTGGTGACATGACAAACATTCAAGGGTAACTGAGTTCGATCCATACCTTTCACAGTATTACCCAGACCAGCATTAATGCACTCCGCGAGTTTTACAAGTGTTGTTATTGATGACGGCATGTATATAAACACAGTTAATATATCCCCAAAAAGAGTCACATAGCAGCTGCAGACTAGAGCATACACGATGCAAAACTAGCAAACGTATGTGATCTCAGCTGCCGTTTGGATGTACGCTAAACAGGGCAAAGGAATACAAGCAAAAATGTTTCCAATTCTGGTTAATATTTAAAATTCTAATTTCTCTTAACAGTCAATATTTCACGAATTTATTTTCTAGTTGTTTCTCGTTCACGTATCCGTCAAAAGATGGCGCCAAAGGCTTTGTTTTCTATTGTGTAACTAGAACGTTCCCGGAATTTTTGTCTGTTGTTCCCGCGTAGGCACATGTTCGTTGTCATTTTCATTCCCGCGACCGAACAGGAAAATTCTTACTATAAGTCTTATAGATTTACTCACACGTTACATAGATTCTTGCTATTCACTATTAGCTCCCTCAACATTTGTTCTTCAGCGTTCATACCCTTTAATTCTCGCTCTCTGTTCTAAAATTCATAATAACTTCTCTGGCTTGCGTCATTTCTAGAACATTCCATCTTGCATGGCCTGTGAACTGCTGATGAGGTAACTCTGAGAACTAAAATCTTTCTAACCTAAACCAAAACTAACCTTTTTCCCAATAGACTGCCATATAGCTTGTAGCTCTGTTACCGCTTGGACGTTATTTCATTTCACTGTGCTTTGACGTGCTGCTTACTACGCAGTTACTTAAAATGTGATACTGAATATAAAACTGTGGCCTGCATGTTAAGATCATGATCTATGCGTGATGAAAAATATTTTTTCGGTAATAAGTACGTGTCCCGCAATAAAGATAATGTTAAGAAGGTCTACCAATCTCTCCTTCGAGTGTCTTTCTAATTATGCAGCAGTCTCTCGAAAGCTATTCTAAATACAGGGCATTTGTAGTGTGTGCGAGAAACCTGGTGTGTCTATGATTCCATTCAAATATAAATTATAACTTACGTAATACTTTACGGAATACAATATTTTGAAATCGTAGGAATCACTTACAGTATTTGTTGCATTGTTTTTTAAATCCGGTAACCGAAGTTTTACATTAAATAATAATTGAGTAGCACGCTTTTTCCTGTTAAAAAAAATTGCAATTTCACGTGTATAAGTCATGTTTAATTAGTGTAACGCATTTGAGAATAAAATTCTAGTCGAGTTTCTTTGATATTTACATTTGACTTCTTTACTTTTACCTTAGTATTTTGCATTTCATTTTTTAGAGCCCAGCAAATAGCCAATTAGCATTTTGGTGTTCCATTTCCTTAATAACTTGTTTTCACCGCACCTACCAGAAAGATGCTCAATGCTCGTCAGTACATAATGAGATTTTGAATAAAACTCCATCGATTTCACGGACGATCCAGACATAGGTCCCTCTACTTCAGGAGCAAAATCTACGCCAACCTAAGACTGCTTTTTTACTTCCTTGTACGAAGTAAAGGAATTATTTTAATCGCGAAAAATTCCGGGTGCCATATTTCAAAGAAAATACACATTTTGACAGCTATCGAATGCAATTTCACGATGTTTTTACGCGACATCTGCACGTAAGGACAGTTTTTTTTTTTTTTTTCTTATTACGTGCTCCGCCCTTAAGCACTACACGGAAAGGGAGGGATGCCCCGTGGAGGTCTTTTTAAGGGAAACTGGCTCGTATCCACGTTACACGTGGGGAAAACCACGAAAACGCCCATGCAGCCAGCCCTTCGCCGGGACGCGGAACTCCGGATCAAACTACCAGTGTTCATCGGCTTTAACCGCTCGGCCACTGGTGGGCGTAAGGACAGAATAAAGGACTCTTTTTCCCAAAACGAATTGTAATGAAGTCAGAAGAGATTTTTTCATAGCGTCTGTACGTACGTAGGTATTTATCTCGCATAACTCATAAACGAGTAGCCTCAGAACGTTGAAATTTTGTATATAGGATTGCTATAACATGCAATTGTGCACCGCACAATGAAAATGATTTTTGCTTTGAAAATTTGAAAATATTGCTTTGAAAATTTTTGCTTTGAAAATGATTGAATTATGTTGGGCTTATATTCCGGTTAAGGCTTTTATGCCTTCAGTTAATTTGCATGCAATAGGTGTAGAATTATCAATAATTTAAAAGCTGTTTAAGTGCGGTAAGTCTACTTTTTCTTTTATTATAGCATCCATATTTGTCATTTGAAACTTGGCTTAGTGAATTAATTCTTTCTGCCCTTTCACTGTCTTTTTGCCGAGTGGGATCAAAAGGAAAATTTTAGTTTCGTGCACCGAAAAATCTGCATTCTTGCCTCCAGGCCGAATTGCCTGTTTTTGCGTAAAAACTGTAATTGTAAAGGCTGTTCTTTTTAATTGCTTTACTACATGTACATATATGTACATGTTTACATGTACTGTTCATGAAAGAAAAGATTTTTCTCCAGGAATCAAGCTTGTATTTATATTAGGCTCATATATATATATATTAAACCAAGAATCGTGAAAATATGCATCCAGTCGGGTGAGAAACCAGGATTCAGTTTCAAGGCATTTAGACGTTAGTCGCTGGAAAGAAGGGAAAAAAAAAAAAAAAAACTCAGTGGCGTAACAGCCCTAATGGGCAAGGCCTGCAGCGCCCGAAATTCTGCTTTGTTGATCGTGAGCCCCGGGGTGCGTAAGATATGCCCTGAACAAGTGGTCAGCTTGGTCGCAGGACCCCCAGTGTTTAGTCCCCCAGCGAACTTGGTACTCATTTTATCGACCCAAGTGACAGAAATCAAGGGATAAAAGGCTGAGTCGACCTTGACCAGCCCGGGAATTTAATCCCGGACCTGTGGTGCTGCTGCGCGATGCGCTGGCTACTGCGCTACCGGGCCTCTAGTCACTGGTGAACCACAGCTACAAAATGCTAAAAGATAGTTGAAAAAATATGAACAGATCCTGAAGAACTAAGCTACATTTATAAATTACATCTTGGACAACTCTATTTGATCAAGATGCATATCTTCATCAATGAAACGTGTTTTCAGACCAAATTAAAAGTCATATATATAAATCGCAGACAAGGATTCACGGCATTTCTTCTTGAAAGTTATTGAACAAACAAGTCCCAGCTAGCCCACCAAAAACGTGTTTTTCGACCAATAATATCTGCGACATCTCAGATTTTTCGAATCATTTACCCTAACAGCTGAAGGACAAAGGCTGGCTGGTTATCTGAAAACGGTAAACCACACAAGGCTAAGTAAGGGAAGGGATGCGTTCTTGAAGGACTCTCCAAGGGAAATTTGCACGCTGCCGAGTTACATGCGGGTAAAACGGTAAACACCAATTGCGCAGTCAGCCTATTTGCCTGGATTCAACGTCGGGACGAATTACCAATATTCAGCACTCGGCCACTGTCAAGGCTGTGGAGGACAGAGATAACAGAATGTAAAATTAAGTGAAAAGAAATCACAGCCTGAGTTTACAGTTTGTGATTGCCTTTTACTTAGATCAGCTGAGAACCTAACTTCTTTTTGCAATGTTTTTGAATCTCAGGAACATTAGTTTACCTCGAATTCAATGAGGCATTAAAATCGATCCGGGGAAAATATCTATGTTATA